AATAAAAAGTGTCATAATAAATATATAATAATATATATATTCTTATAAAAAGTATTTAAATTTTCAAACTACTTTTTCTCATTAATTTTAGATTTTAATAAAAAAAATTAGCAAGCACCCGTGTAATACACGGGTGTTGTATTAGTATTACATGACATGTGGAGAATGACTAGAATGTTTTATAATTCTTTTTTTTTTGGTACATGGATCTTCCGGTTTCCGGATCCACAGGGGAACCGATTAATCCGGAATCGAGCCGGGTAGGACCACAAGTGCGGCAAAGCTCTCCCTCAAGAGTTTTAACACTGTTGCATTTCCAGGGCTCGAACTCGAGACCACTGGTTAAGTTGGAAGAAACCCAAGCCATCTCATCCAAGCGCTCTTAGGTTGTTTTATAATTCTTTAAGACGTACAAAATCACCTAAAAATTTTCTAAATAGAAAATATGTCAACAATTAAATTATTGTTTGCTATGTTCATATATACTTCGTGTAATACAACTACGAATAAATTTATAAATAAATTTCTATAACTTATAAATCTAAAACATAATTTCATCTGTAGGCCTAAGAGATATATTACTTCATATGAAAGTTGTCTAAAATTGTCTAAATTAGAATTAAACCTAGTCGAGGCTGAAATTCGCCAACTCAGCAAATTCTGATCGATTTCGGTGACCAGGAAGTTTTTGGACAAATTTTGGATCGACCTAAATTATTAGACTAAAATGGAAAACGACGTAAGTTACTTGAAAAAAATTGCATTTCTCTCAACATGTATTTATTTAATCATTAGAATACATAGATTCATGTATAAATATATAAGACCACACAACTAAGTGCCATGGCTGCGTCTGATCATCAGGACCAATCGAACTTTTTCAGCAAGCCTCGTGGTGGATTGTAGTCAGAGTAATAAAGTCCGTCATCCTTAGCGGCCCAGTAGCACGTAAAGTCCTGGCAACCGGATCTGAATGGTTTGGCTTCGAACGCAGTAAAATGTATTTGCTTGGGCCCCCAAGACATATCACAGTAGAATAGTGTATTGTGATAGTTGGTGCAAAAATCGAACATGAATTGTTGATACGTGCCGAGCGTATGATTCCCCAAGTCATCTTCTTTCGACGCACAATGCACCTGTAGCGTCGGGGATTGCCGAGGAAGGTAGCTCACAATATACACAGTTATGGGATTCCCCACAATGCAGTGCCTGGCTGTAGCCAAGGTAATTACTTGGACAAGGATAGTTAAAATTGTGAGGGCTTGTGATGATGAGTACTTCTCCATGGTATTAAGTAAAATTGTTTTTCTATTTGACTTGGTTTGGTGTTTATAGGTGAGGTAGTTTAGTTGGACGATGTCAAAAAGAATGAAAGTTAGTAATAACATTTTTTGAAAATTTAGGAAAATATTATTAGTGTAACAAAATTACCAAAATCCGGGAAGGTGTGATTAAAAAAATTTACTAAATTGTCAAATCAAATTACCATAATTTATAAAGTGTTGAAATACCTCCTCTCTTAAAGATGACTTTTAATTATATAATTATTATATTAATAAGTTAGTTTTAAATTTTTAACTAGTTGTAACATGTGCATTTGCACAGAAAGCTATATGATAAGAATAAAATAATAAAAAAATATAAACAATAGTAAAAATCATAACATAATCATCGAATTTTTTTTTAAAAAAAGATAAATATTATTAAACACTTCTCTATGTGCAACATTCGTGGATTTTTAATCGTCAGAATCTTCATCACCACAAATCATTATCTTCAAACCCCTTCGGCTCGTAACTCTAGAAAGCGCCACGTACAATTGTTCATGGCTAAATACATGGCTCTTCAGTAGTAAGCTGATGTGCGACAGAATTGTCTTTAACTCTTATTGATTGTCATAGCATAGGAAACCATGAGCAGAAATTGTCTGCGCTGAAACTTGAAAGGTACCCTCAAATTTGATGGTATGATTTTGAACATACGAATAAGAACCTTATCACCAGCTCTGACACCGGTTCTATTTTGCATTCGAATACATGGTTGTTGAGCTTAGTAATAACTAATCGAGTATATGTTGATCTCAAAATTCGGAGAACAAAAACATATCAATCGAATTGTACACTAATCAAAGAAAATATAAATGATGGATAAGGATTTTATTGGCTGCCAATTGAAGTGCACCCTTTGTCGTTGGATGCGATTACCATTTGTCGTTATACCGGTTATGCTGATATCTTCATAACTATCACTTGCAACCCCAAGTAGCCTGAAATCAGTCGATTCCTTTCTGAAAGGAACCTCAACCCTGAGGACCGTCTAGATATAATTTGTCGTATCTTTAAGGCGAAGTTTGATGCACTGATGAAGGATGTTCGGACCCATATAGCACGGCCAAAGTTTCATCCACCATACATATATAGAACATTTAAGAAGGTGGTAGAGGCATGTATTTGATGCATGAAACCCTACCACGTGCAACATTTTCACCGTTTCTTCTTCACTTTTAGTTTTTTTTTTCTCTCATCTGACACAAACACTCGGATCAATTCCTATTTTGTTTAGCTGTCGTGGTCATGCTTTTAATTTATCAACGGGGAAGCTATTGATCTATGTGAATTTTTTGTTTAAAGGTTTAATATATTTGTATGCTTTTTGTATTATTTCGTGGATAAAGTTTTGGGATCATTTTTGTTGTAAATTTTCTATGACAAATAATTTTGGTCGGGAAACACCTTAAAATTTTCTATGGCATAAATACGACCCTCACTGATTTTAAACTTTTTATAATTTTTCAGCGAAGCAACCCGGGCCTGAAGCGTGAATTCACTGACCCTACATGATAAAAAAAAATATTATAGAAATTGATATTGAAATAGTATGTGTTAAAAAAGACTGAAAAGATTTTTATACCTTGACATCGTGAAATACGTACTCCAATCTGCCATTTTGATGTTTTTTCTTTTTATTTTCATTTTATCAAAGACCTTGTTGAATAATGGCGAATCAACCTCAATATTATCAAACATAAAAGCCATTTGAAATGAGAATTTTGGCTGAATTTTTTTATTTTTTTCCTGTTGAGTAGTATTTTTTACTGAATGTGATTTTGGTTCTTATTTTTTCAGCTATTTATAAAGTTTTAAAAAATGGTCATTGATTGTATAATTTCATTTCCAAGTGATTGCTCAATTTTAAAGAATAATTGATTGATTTTAATTTATTTTTTTAACTGACTTTAATATTGTCCTGCCATTTTAATTGATGGATTGCATGATTCTTCATTTATATAATATTTAAAATTTAAGATAAATAATGAGTATATCATATTGTTGAAATTTTATGGTTTGTAAATATAAACGATATAAGTATAAACTATTTAACCTACATATAAATCACTATAATGATAATTATAGAAAATAATAGTGATTATGACCAATTAATTAGATAAAAAATGATTTGGTTATGTCATAAAAAGTAATTAACTATTTTTATTAAAAAATAATAATGAGTTAAAAAATAATTATTATTTTAAATAAGTAGCTTAAAAAATCTAAATAATTTTTTTTATATGTATAAACTTTCTTATATCCTTTAGTTATTATTAGTTATTATGTAATTATAAAATATATAATTTAATTAATTAATGAAAAATATAACAGCTTCTTTTTACAATTAGTTGAATAAAATGAGCTGATTTTATTTTTGCAATAAATTCTTTGTGAATAGTTATATATATAGGAATATAAATATAATCATAACGGGGATGATATTTATATAAAATACATTAAATATTATTATTATTATTATTATTATTATTATTATTATTATTATTATTATTATTATTATTATTATTATTATCATTACTACTACTATTTGAGGCTATGAATTTTATTTAAACGAATGCATTTTTAAAAAAATTAAATACGTTCTTATGCAACAATAAATTGTCTTTTATAAGAACGACTGTTTTATTTTAATTTTCTATTTTTGTATTATACCCACAGGTTTTGGTAGAATAATTTGTAATCATTCTATTTAAAAAATACATAGAATAAAAGTTAGAATTATTAAATGAGCGGATAAAATCGTAACAATTGATTTCAACATTAGTATGCTTACATATTAATTAAAAAACCAAGCTACTATGTATGAAAAAATAGAGTGGAATATGCAAATTTTTATTGATGTGATAATTCCTAATTATATATATAGATTATTTTATATCTTAATTAGTTTTTATTAGATGTCATAAAAGAAAATAAAAAGATGAAAATACCATTTAAAAGAATGAAACGTTACAATGTATAATGATAAATGTACAATAATAATCTATAATTGTAAAAGTAACGTTAATTGTATATGGAAGGTTGTAGTATTTATTAGGTATAATTTATTAGGTAAAATTAAATAGATTTTATTTATGAGATTTTATTTAATGATTAGCTAGCAATTATATATATATATATATATAGAAGTCCAAATTTTAACATCGAACTATTAATTTAGTAATTTCAATAACTATTTAATTAATATCTGAATTCTAATTAATCAATCCAATATGACTATTTAATTCTATTTTTGTGATTGACATCTAATCAAAATTAGATTTAATAAAATAACTAAAAATTTTAATTAAAGCCTTGTCCATTAATCCAACTGTTAGAAATAACAATTTAAAATATGTCATCATCCAAAAATTGGTGCGACCCTTTTAGATTCCGGATTAACACTAGTAGTGGATTTACAATTCATTTATAATTTTAATTAATCTATTAATTTATATTCTTGAAATTAACTCCTTAATTTCAAGAAATCATAAATCTTGGTAGCACCTAGCAAGTAACGAAGAAATATATGTCTAGTGTTAAGTGAAATAGCCCTATTATCATAGCCCGGTTCAGATGTTAATTACTCGACCCAATCGACCTCCCTGAAGTCGACCAAGCCCATGAGCTACTTAAGGATCACTGACAACCCGATAATGGCTCCAAGACGATTCTCTTAAGTCGACTGAGGGTAAGTCGATTCTCTTCGAAAAGACGAGCGGACGCAACGAAATCTCTGGATGCACATATATGACCTTAGGTCGACTTGGCGATACCCGAAGTCGACTTATGAGACCTCCGACGACTTATATACACTTCAATGTATCATAGGAAAACCTCTAAGCTAGAGAACTCATATGGGATGAGAAAGAATCTGGATGCTGACTCAGAAGTGGACGGAATGCGAAGCGACCAGGGCATTTTGGACACTCCGTATAAGTCGGCCTGGGCATTTTGGGTACTTCAGGTACGTGTTTGAACCTCTATATAAAGGAGCTGAGGTAACTCCAAACTCTAACTTTCATTCTCTCTATTCATTTCCCAGCTGCTGCTCCTACTGAACAAAGCTCATCATCACTCTCACTGACTTGAGTGTCGGAAGCTCTTCACCGGAAACACCTCCGGTGTTGAGTTTTTGCAGGTGTTCGTAGCGGTTCGAAGGCGACTTAAGGACGATTCGAGTAGATCGGAGCCCATTATCACCGGTTCATTCCAGATCTCGGAGTAGACCCATCATATATAAAATTGCAAATGCATATATGTACAATCCTTTCGACAATTAATTTCTCGATTTCTTGGGCATGAATTTATACGTCGAAAACCAATTGATCTGATAATCACAATTTCATATTATATTGCTTGATTCTACACGTTTTCAAAATCGATGTAAAAAGTATTTTTTTTTTCTACTAATGATTTTACTTTTCTTTTATTTAATACATAATTAAACGTATGGAACAAGTAACTTCCCAAATCACTACAAAAAATAATACCAAATTACAATAATAAAATATTTCAATAAAATTTCAGCGGATATTCAAATAGTATATATGCAAATAGTGGTTATATTTTCAACTTCTATTACTACTCAAAATTTTACATATGTCAATTATCCAACTTATAATTCTAAATATTATATACATATAACTTATAAATATTTTACTTACATCTGTACATGTGCATAGAATTAAGTACGATAAGATTAAAAGCATCACAATTATGTTAATGAAATAATTTAATATCAATTTGTGTTCAAAATATGACATTACTTCGCTAATATATACAATTGCTCATACATTATTGGTAATTACAATAATATTTCAAAAACATAATCTCGCTCATACAATTTCATTTCAAATCACCATAATTTTATAATCTCCAAACATGATTTACAGATCCTGCAAACTGATTTTTTTTCCTTTATAAGACATATTACAAACAACAAGAAAATACAATTAAAT